TGACAGGGTTTGAAAAAATCCATATTACGACTGGGTTTTGTTTTGAGCCATAAATTTTTTTGTCATATGTTCGATCGGTTTTGCATATTTTTATTTTGATTGATGTAATTTAGTAAAAAGTAATTCTATTTATACACCATCTTTTATCTCCACATTTCCCTTTTAATTAACATTTCTTATGACAAACACAAATGACAAAAAAGACAATGATAATAAAATTAATTATGTAATTAAATTTTATTATAAAAGAAATTTAATTATATATTTTTTCTTTTCACACACCCTACATATTATACCTCAAATTATAAACTATTGCTATTTTGAAATCTATAATAAAACCCTATTTTTACTTTTTTAATAACGTTTGGCTAAATTGATGTTTAGACAAATACATTATCACCATAAATATCTTACTGTGAAAAGCTTCAAATTAGTTAACTATATATAGCTAGTAAAAATAAAAAAAAAGGTTAATAATGCCAACTCGACTCGATCCGTTCATTTCGCTGATTCGAGTTTAGAATTCGAGTTTTGCTACAGTAAAAAGCTCTCACAAACAATCACATCTAACTTTTTTGTTACAGTAAAAAGCTCTCACATAAAATCACATCTCAACTCGAATTAAAAACTCGAATCAGCGAACTAAACAGGTAATCTCTAATCCGAATTAATTCAGATAGTGATTAATAAAATTTTTAACTGGTGATCTACCCTTTAAAAAAAATAATAATAAAAAGTAACAATGAGAGTCTAAGTGGCTGTTCGGCAGCCCTTTTCTTGAGTTAAAAATTAAAAAAAAAAACTCGAGTTATAACTTTATTCAAGTTCATGTTCTTTTAAGTTTGAACTCGAGTTTGAGACTAAAACTTGAGTTCAAGTTTCTCCTTTAACTCGAGTTCAGAAACTCGAACTCAAATTAATGAACAATATTTTTTTTATTCTTAAAAATGCTATAACTTTTTCGTTTTAATTCTGATTGAGATGATTTTTTTCTATGCGTTCACAATGAAAAGACGAATAAAACCCCACCCATATATCCTATTAAAATTTTTCATCAACATTGAGTTTTTATTAAAATACTATCTAAATACAAATTCAAGTTTTGACCCACTCAAATACAAACTCAAAAAGATTATTATCTCAAACCATAACTCAAATGTACATAACCAAACACAAACTCAAGTTACAACTTTAACTCAAGTTATAACTCAAACTCAACTCAAAATCTACACTCAAATCACCTAACTTAAAAATGACAAAAGAACAACCCCTAAGTCAAGTAAGCGGAGAAAGAAAATTGTAGAAACTTTTATTATTTAGGGCCCATTTGCTAGTATTTTTGCTTTTTCTTTTAGGCCGTAGAAGAGAAGTAAAATTGTGGCTTTTCAATAATGTTACGACAAAGTTTTGAGATCCTTAATAAAACTCTAGTACAAGTATCAAAATCTCATTTAAAGAGTATTTTTAAGAAGCTATAGGGTTAGTTTGATAGTACTATAAATTTTTAAAAAAATACTTTTAACTGTGCTGAAAGAAAAAGTTCTTATTGATTGCCAAAATTATTTTTAAAAGTGATCAAAGTAGAAGCATGTTGCTTCCAAGAAACAGTGCCAAATGCAATTTAGGCTGCTTATGATATACATTAGGAGCAATGTCTCAACTCCAATTCAACAGTAGTTACAATACTATAGGCTCATTTAGTTCGCTGATTTAAGTTTTTAATTCGAGTTAAGATATGATTTTATATAAGAGCTTTTTCTGTCGTAAAAAAATTAGATGTGACTGTTTATGAGAACTTTTTACTGTAGCAAAACTTAGGAGTTGTTCTTTTCGAACAAAACTCAGAAAAAGTTTGAACTTGAGTTACAACTTTATTTAAGTTCATGTTTTTTTGTAAAACTCGAGTTTAAACTTGAGTTTGAACTCGAGTTTGGGGCTAAACTCGAGTTCAAGTTTTCTCTTCAACTTGAGTTCATAAACTCGAACTCAAGTTAATGAATAGTATTTTTTTATTTTTAAAAATGTCATAACTTTTTTGTTTTAATTCCGATTGAGATGATTTTTTTTCTATGCATTCACAATGAAAAGACGAATAAAACCTCACTCATATACCCTATTAAAATTTTTCATCACTATTGAGTTTTTATTAAAATACTATATAAATACAAATTTACGTTTTGACTTAACCAAACACAAACTCAAAAAGATTATCAATTTAAATCATAACTCAAATAGACATACTCAAACACAAACTCAAGTTATAACTTCAATTCAAGTTATAACTTAAACTCAATTCGAGATCATCACTCAAGTCACTCTAACTCAAAAATGTAAAAGAACAACCCTTTAAATTTTAAACTCGAATCGGTGCAATTAATGAGGCCTATATTAGTTGTATCGTATTGAATCAAATGATCATTTGAAAGGTAATTACAAGCATTTGACCGAATTAGTTTACATTCTGAAAACGGTGATATGTTGCAAGCGTTTTTCCACTCTCTATCAATGAATTGTGGAATGCTCTCTTTCCACTCTCTACAGAAAGCCATAACCACAATCCTTGATCTGATTTTTGCAATGAGGAAAAAAAAATACAAAAAATATCACACCAACATACATATTTGAAATACAAAAAATGTCCTTTACTATATAATTATCATATCAGCATATCAAGAGTAGTCTATTGGTGACCCAGGTATCCTAGCGTGATACTGAAGCTAGTGGTACCGAAAAATCCAGCCACGGGTAATGACCGGTCATGTTGCCACTAGATTTCTCACTAAAATATTTTTAAAAATATTGAAAAAAGAAAATTAAAGAGGGGCAGAGCAACACCAAAATGGGTCCCTTCGCGTGGGATCATATAGTGGTGCGAACCGTGCGATCTCCTCCGTGCGACACACCAGAGGAGCCAATAAGATTTTCTTGGTGAAGACCCTCTAGGTACCTGATGAGATGAGCCAACAAGATTAGATGAGAGTTGCAACATGGGGGCTAGAAATTTAGGGTGCGCTTGAAATTGATTTCAAAACGTTTTTATTTTCTGTACGAAAATAAAAATGAAAACGTTTTCATTTTCATTTTTGAATTATTTCTGAAAATGCGTTTGGTAGTTTTATTTAGAGATTGATTTCAGTTTAAAAAAAAAACTGAAACTGCGTGGTTTAATTTTTAAAAACATATAATAATATATTAAATAAATAATACTTCACTGCGTAATTGCATAGAGAGGTGCTTTGGGGTCTTGAAAGCAATGTTTAAAATTCTTAGGCTTATGACCAATTATTGGATGCCAAGACAATCGCTTATACCAATTGTTTATTGTGTGATCCACAATTTAATTAACATGCACACGCGAGATGATCCTCTATTTAGACAATATGATGTCGATCATTCTGCGGCATGGGGCCGTCAGCCCCGAAGACGACGAGATGTGCTCCTTCATCTCCTTCATCTCCCGCATCTCTCTCTCTCTCTCTCTCTCTCCCGCCATCCTTCATCTCCTTCAGCCGGTGTTGATGGCGGTGTTCACGTGGGCGTAGTGACGGCGGCGGCCTCCGACGACTGACGATAGCCACCGAGCGACCGCATCTCTGGTGATGTCTCTCTCTGTCGTCCTTCATCCCTTCATCTCCGGTGTCCTTCATCTCCGGTGTCGGTGTTGATGTCGGAGTGGGGGAGGGGGCTGTCGGGGGTGGTGGGCAGTGGAGAAGAGAGAAAAGAAAAAAAAATGAAAACTATTTTCAGAAGAATGAAAACGAAAACGAGAAAACGGATTTTTTTCGTTTTCATTTTTTCACAAAAAGACAAAAACATTTTTGTTTTTGTTTTTTGAAAAGTTTTGTGCCAAACACGTTTTTAGAGTGTGTTTTCATTTTTTAGCTTCGAAAAACGTGAAAAATGAAAACGAAAACAAAAACAAACAGGCCCTTGATTTCCAATCTAATCTTGTTGAATAGATAAAGAGAGAGAAAAAGAAAGAGAGAGAAAGATAATTAAACAGAACATTTAAATGCTTTTTTTTGAGTGATTTAAAAAAAAATATCAATCTATAGTTTTGAAGGGTGGCATTTGCCTTTTAGTCATTTGCTACATTTTCCCCTTATTTGGTCGTATATATGTTTCAAAGTTGCATTTAATTTTTAAATGTTTTTTTATTTAATTTGTTTAAGTACCAAAGAGAAGATACTTCAGTATTACTACACAATATGGGTCTGTTTAGTTCATTAATGTAAACCCATGATTTTATTTTCTCACAAAAAGTTTGAATAAAAAAAGGTATTGCCAATGAGTTCTCTCACATTTAAATTTAAAATCAAAATTACTTATTCGAACCTATAAACTAAGCGGCCTTATCGATTTTATTCAATATTTCGCCAGTATTAGAGTAGTTCTTTAAGTTATCGTCCATAGGCTACCATAAACCCCGGTTTTCAAGTACCTAGACGACCCTTTGATGCTTTTTTTTTTTTTTTTTTTTTTTTTTTTTTTTTTTTTTTGTATTCTAAATAAGTAGTTTGAGATCCATTAATTTAATAGAATAAAAATGACTTGATCCAATTCTACTTAAATGATAAGTCTAATTTTTATTCATGCTACTATAAATTGGTGACCAACTTTAAACGATATTAATCGAGTAAATGATCTAAAGTGTGGCGGTAGAATATCAAATTTTGATACATTAGGGGAAGATGGACAAATATTTTTATGGTAATCTTGACAAATACTCTTTAAAAGTGCACGAGTCAAGATTTTTACTTTTTATTCTTAATTCATAACTTTTTTAGTTAAATAAATATACTAACATAAAAGTATTTATTAAGAATAAAAAATCTAAATCTAAATTCATTCACTCTCAAAATAAAATTATCTATTTTTAAATATCTTTATCTCTTCACCAATCCACTAGCGATTCTATGAGCACTACTCAAATCAAACATAGCTGCTATATGGGGCCTTCTCTGCTTTTTGGACATCTAATCAGACATGGGCCTATTCAGGAAAGAGCCTAGTTCAATCACCTCAAGTTTAGGTCCTGTAGTACCATTACTTCGGTTGTTTTCTCTCACCGGCTTTCTAAATCCTTCAGCAGTTTGAGAATCTTCTTCCTAAATCTTCAGTTTTGAGCTTCAAAGTTCTTTCCTCTCGAATTTTGCAGAAAATTTAAATCAAAACCGTGTTCGAAACCCTAATTCTGTTCATTTTTGAGCTTGATCCCAATTTTCGTGCGATACTGATCCTCAAACCCTAGCCTCCATGGCGTCGAGAAAGAAGCAGTTGGAGGGCATCGCTTTGCTGTCCATGTACAACGACGAGGAAGAGGACGACGAGATGGAGGACGCAGACGGAGGAGAAGAGGAGCGGCGAGAACCGCCGCGAGACGACGATTACGGAGAGCCAAGGAGTGCCGAAGATGCTCCCATGGCGGACGGCGATAGGATTGTGACTGGTGATTCCGGTAACGAGGAAAATACGCCGCGAGATGTTGTCGACGAGGAGAATTCCGCTCCCGGTAAAGGTCAGTTCCGTCCTTCCACGCCGCTGCAAAATCAGGCTTTGTTCGCGTCGCCGTTTCAGCAGCAACAGCCTATGGATTCGGATAATGCGAGGAGTAGAAGAAGGAAGCTTGCAATTGTGGATTACGGTCATGATGAAATTGCCATGTCTCCTGAGCCTGAGGTCATTGTCGTTTTCTCTCTTTTGGCTGCTAATGTGTGTTCTTTTTATCTCTAGGAAACCTTATTTGTTTTGTATTTGGAGTTGATTTTGCCAAAACCTGAAAAATTTAAGCATTCTTGTTCAGTTAGGTAAAGAGATTAGTTAGTTTGTTTCCTGACATTTCATTTTCTCTTTTTACTCTTTACGTGATATTTCAGACTATTCTTTGGTCAAGGTTTTGCCTTTTATCCGAATCTGAGCCCTGAGAAGATGTGGCAAACTATTTTACGTTCTATATCTGGTTACTAAAACTGAAGGAGTTTTGAAATTTGATTTCTGATTGCTATGTGTGCTTGCAGGAGGGCGAAATAGGAGGAAGTGGTCGCGTCATGCTTGGCACGGATCTAGAATCTGTAAATGGTACGACTTGGTGACTTTTGAGTATATGAGCATCGAGTTTCGTTCATTGTGTGTTTTATCTATCCTCGCATTATTGCGAATGTGTTTCTTTGGCTATGCATTTCTGATAATGTTATTGGTCTTGCCTAGTTCTTTATTTTGGGGTTCTGCAAATGCTACTTGGTGACTTTTTAAGTATATGAGCTTCGAGTTTCATCCATTCTGTGTTTTATCTATCCTCGCATTATTGTGAATGTGTTTCTTTGGTTAAGCATTTCTGACAATGTTATTGGTCTAGTTCTTTTTTTGAGGTTCTGAATGAGTCACCAGTACTGGTTCAGAAGTTCAATTGAGAACTTCGTATTATCTAATACCAGGTCAAACTATCAACTACATAAGTTGCTGATACTTCGCCAAGTTCGGGGTAATCTCGGTGGCAATGGAGTATCAAATTAGGGGCAATTGGACTAAGTTTAACTTAGTAGCTCATGAAAAGTTATAAAGTGGCTGTGATGTCAACATGAACAATTTTGCAAATAGTAACTTTTTTCTATTTGGTTTACCCACACAGATTCTTTAGGTCGGTTTTATTGAAAATTCAGGAAATGTTGGATTTTTTTTCCCTTTTGTTTTCCCCTTCTGATTTTGGACAGTTATAGTGGGCTGTGTATGAGTTTTTCTCCCCCTTCTAAGTTTCCTAATCAGATTGTTGTGTGTGTTATCCGGTACAGATCCCATGTCTTGTTTTTGTCATGGTGGACCGAGAGTCTTTTCAATATATTGAGAACACTGTACGAGTTAATTTTTTTTTTCCTTTCAGGATCGTTGTTTGAAATTGAGACCATGATATATGTGTGAACAGGCCCTTTTCTGTTGCAATTAATCTAGTATACTTTCTATTTCGTAGTTGGCCCTTATCTACGTGCCTATCTGCCTACAATTGTCTGTGGCAGGTGATTTCCATGATGGAACAACTCCTGGAACGGCTCAGGTTCGAACACCTAGCAATCAAGCAACTCCCCTAGTATCCTATCCGTCACAATCTGATAAAATGAACTCTGCGGTGCATGATTTAGAGATTGGAGATGCTACAGAGGTTATAGAGGAGCAAAAAGATGTTGACCCGTTAGATAAGTTCCTTCCACCACCACCAAAAGTTAAATGCTCCGAGGAGTTGCAAGTAAGTTCCTTCTTCCAACAGCTTCTTTATTATTTTGTGCACCTTCTATTTCCTTCAATTTGTTTCTTTTTCTTTCCTTCTGTTATTTATTACTTTCTTTTTTTCTCCCTCCCCACCACATACCCGCTCTCCCTTTTTTTTTTTTTTTTTAAATTTTCTGTTTTCATGTTTGATATGCTTCTCCTTTCTCTAAAAACCCGCAGAGAAAAATAAATAAGTTCCTTGATTATAAGAAAGCTGGGAAAAGCTTCAATGCAGAAGTGCGCAACAGGAAGGACTATCGAAATCCAGATTTCCTGCTGCATGCAGTGAGTTATCAGGATATTGATCAGATAGGGTCTTGCTTCAGTAAAGACGTATTCAATCCCCACGGATATGACAAAAGTGACTACTATGTTGAAATAGGTCCTTACTATTCCTTTTAATATATCTCTGTCTGCATGAGTGCATGTGTGCGCCTGTTTTGCACGTGTTATGTGCGTCCTATCATTCTCCTAAGATGTAAGTGCTGCAGCGTAACTAATACATTTAAGTTGTGCATTAAATTTGATCCTCTTTGCCAATTGTAGTTGGCCAGTAAATTTTATACAGTATATGTCTGATTTGATAGATGGACTATACTACAACAACAACAGGAAGCCTTAATCCTAACTTAATTGGGGTCGGCTATATGGATTTCACTTTTTCACACGGCTCTGTTCGAAATTATACTTTCATGAAGGCCTAGATCTAGAATGTCTTTCCTAACGACTTCGGTCCACGTAATTCTTGGTCTACCCCTCTCTCTCCTAGTATTAGGTATAAGAATGTCCTTCCAAGCACGAACTGATACTTCTAGCGGTCTACGTTGGACGTGTCCGAACTACCCCAAGCGGCCTTCGTTCACCTTAGCTCACCTTATCTTCTATTGGTGCTACACCTACTTTACTACAAATAACTTCATTCATTTTGCGATCTATTCTCGTATGGCTACTCATCCATTTTAACATACGCATTTCTGTTACACTTATCTTAGATATATATTGTCTCTTAATAGCCCAACATTCACTACCATATAACATAGCTGGGCGGATTACAGTCCTATAGAACTTTCCTTTCAACTTAATAGGCATTTTGTCGTCACATAAAACTCTCATAGTCTTCTACTTAACTCACACTGCCTTAATTCTATGTTGAATATCCTCTTCTATATCTCCTTCGTACTGCACTATAGACCCAAGGTACCTAAACTTCCTAGAAGCCCCACTTTCTACACCATCTAAAGAAATTTTATCACTCTGATTACTTGAGTTACTAAACCTATAATGCATGTATTTAGTTTTCATCTTACTTAACTTAAATCCCTTTGTCTCGAGAGTCTGTCTCCACAGTTCTAACTTATGGTTAACTCCTTCCCTATGTTCATCAACTAAAACTATATCATCCGCAAAAAGTATACACTAAGGAACTCTATCTTGGATTTCTCTTGTCAGCTCATCCATCACGATGGTGAAAAGATAAAGATTAAGAACAGATCCTTGATGAAGGCCGATCCGAATGGGGAACTCTGTCGTGTAGCCTCCAACAGTTCTCACACTCGTGACCACCCCATCGTACATGTCCTTGATAGATGGACTATACATTCTACAAATCTGTTTAATTGATCCTAACGATGATCTGTTTGCCATCTGATTTTTAACGATTGTCGGCATTATTTGTGCACGTGCGTGTTTGTAATTGTTCTCCTTATATCCTTCTAAATATCTATGGTCAAAGAACTAAATTGGAAAAAGGAAAATTGAGACAAAAATAAAATGGTTTTCTGAACGTTCTGCATCTCACCAATTATTTTGTTGCTAGGACATGTGGTGTGATAGCTGATTTTTTTAACATTGATCCTTCTTGTTGCTTACATTCTGATGCCTTAAAAACCACAGAGGCTGATATGAGGCATGAGATGGATAGAAAGGAACAAGAAAGAAAGAAGAATCAGAAGGTTGATTTTCTTTCAGGAGGGACACAACCTGGAAATGTTGTTGGTGCTCCCAAAATTAACGTGCCTATTCCAGGTTTGAGAACTACACTGCACTGAACTTTTCTAGTTAGTATAATTCACAACCCCATTCTAGAAATTTTCTAAGGTACTACCTATATGGAGTCCTAGTGTACAAACCTATAACTTTATGGGTTCGACCTTATGTAAAGTAATTTTTTAGGCGTTCCAGCTGTGGCTGTTGCTGGGTTACATGCCGCTCCGCCATCTGCTGATGCAATCCCCCGGGATGGTAGACAGAACAAGAAGTCAAAGTGGGACAAGGTTTTTCCCCCTTATGCATATGGGATAGTTATCTTTCTTGTATGATGTAAGAGAGAATTGATAAGCTCGGTCTTTGAATTTCTTGTTTCAGGTAGATGGAGACCGAAGGAATCCTCTCCCTTCCAGTGTGCCGGATTCTATATCCGCTGTTGGAGCTCAGGCAGCAGTCTTATCTGCTGTCAATGCTGGTGCTGGATACATGGCCTTTGCGTAAGTTCGTTGAACTACTTTAGAATACCATTTCTGCTAACATCAATCCTGTTCGTTAACTTTGCCTTGTCTAAATTCATAAACTTTTTGTCTCCCTCTTTATTTGTTTCTTCCCAAGCAAAATCTCAAGTAGTTCGAACCATCAACATCCATGGTATAACCTAGTATTTACCCTTTACAACCATAATACTGTGTTTTCGATGTCCATTTCATCCTCATGTTGCTTTCAAATTAGCAAAAATTCAGCCGGACACAAGATTTTACCCAAAGAGTAGATGGTGGAATTTTTGCTCTCTCTTAACAGTTAACCGATGGAAGTGGTGTTTGGATTATGTACTAGACTGGTTGTATATAGATAAGTATATTCTGGATTTAAAAAATAACTGGATGGTATATACTTAAATTGTTATTATATGGTAACTTTGAACATTTGTAATACATAATAAGACGCCTGATACTTGGAAATTTACGTACCATATGATATTTGGGTGGATTTGTGATCAATATTTATGTTCACTGTTTGTCGAGATGAAAAGCTGCAGATGCATTTTGGAGTGATGAATCTGAGTTATCTAGATTTGTTTTTCTTGAAAGCTCAATGTCCACTGTCACTCAAGTGGTGACTTGTATCATCTGATGTTCAAATTTTGGTTCTGTCTGTGTTGCAGGCAGCACAGACGGCGAGAGGCAGAAGAGAAAAGATCTAGCGATAGGAAGTTAGAGAGAAGATCTTGATAATCTGTTGTACTTCCCAATAGTTACTAATATACACACAATTTTGAAATCTGAAATTGATATAGCCATTGCAACAATTTCCCCAACTTAAGTTAGTAAATTGGGGTTGTATTTTTGTTATAATGTCTCTGTATATTTATGGAATGAAAGGTGATGTTTGGTAGATGGATTCGTTCTCTGATTCGAATCATAGTTCGTGGTTCGCTACAGTATTTTCTCTCACAAAAAATACACGTAAATCGAAAATGATTTTAATCACATGATTCTAATCCATGAACTAAACGCACCTTGGTTTCGTTGATTCACCTTCAATTAACCTATCCCAATTTCCCTCGGTTTTGGTTGAGCATCCACTGTCGGATTACTGCGTCCTGTACGGTCCGCTTGTAATATTGAACGCCTCATCAGGTGGTTTTCCTTTAACTCTCTCCCCCCTTTTTTCATCCCATTTTCTATTGAACTATAGATTCTAACTCTGTTCAGGAAGAAGAAAATTGCTAAAGAAATCACTCCAGTTTGTCTATTTCATGTCTTATTTCTATTTCTTTTTTTTCCTTTTACTTTGTTTCTTCAAAGTTCTTCATGGTTAGTTTTTTATTTTTGCTTTTCAGTTTTCAAGAGCTCAATCCTTTAATAATTTTTGGCAGGCCTTTCTAAATCTCCAAATCAGATGCTTGCTGCAAACGGGCTCTTTAAAGCTGTTTTTTGGTTGTTATTATTTTTGTTTTGTATCGCTTGTCCCAATTCATTCTTTGATTATTGCACAACCAAGCATTGAGGTGTATTGATAAAAAAAATACCAGGCGATCTTTTCGCAAACGCTCCTTGCAAGTTGCATGTGGACTGCTGTTAGGGACGCAAGGGTGCGTAGAGATGGCAATCTTACCCATGGGTATCCGCCCTTAATAGGGTGGTATGGGGATATTATATAGGGGTGGGGAAGGGTATGGGGCCAGCCAGAATTAGCCTCTGATTTGGAGATGAAGCGGGAGTGGGGGAAGCTCTCTCAACCCCACCCCCTCCCAATTACATGTACTCTTATATATGTTTGAGTTTAAATTTAGTTTTTAGATTTTAGTTTGTTATTGTTAGAGTTTAGATTTAAAATTAAGATTTCAATGTATTTTTATGACATATTAATAGTTATGTTATTTAATTTTTTAATTAATTTAATGGAATTTTTTTTTTAGGTTTGATAATGTTGCGAGCATTTTTTAAATTCTTAATGGGTAAATGAGTAGGGTATGAAAATAGTTTTCCGAATAGAAAAATGTTGTAACTCTACTAACATGATACATCACGACATGACAACACACTAGGCACAACATGAATGTGCTAGAGGAGCATAACATGACACAGTACATATTCAGCGCAACACAACATGTTAATTCGTGTGCCCTGGTATCACAGATCTAATTCCGCGGTCAATGTCAAGTTTAATTGTTGAGCAAGGTGTGCCGAGCCCGACACGATCTACCCCCACAAACACCACATCACCGCACGTCAACATGCTAGGAACATAATATTGGACGTGTAACATAAATACATTATCATGTTCTATTTATTATTTTTCCTTAATTTATTTTTTAAGTCTGTCTTATGCATTTGAGTTTTTTTAATCAACTGTATACTTATTTAGTGCATATTTTAACCATTTTCTTTTTTTAAAAAATCAACATTTAAAATTATTATCAAAGGTTTAGCCTCATTTTTAGTTCCTAAGTGATAGAAAAATTTCATTTTGGTCATTGACATTTAAAACATCTTAGAATTAATCACCTATCTATGAAATTTTCCCCAAGTAGTCATTCCCTTCATCTGTTAAAATCTCAACGAAAAAAGATGGTTTAGGACCATGTGTTGCTTAGTGAAGGTTAAGTTTGAAATTTTACATGTTAGCGCATAATTAAGAAGGAAACAATGTTTAACAGTCAGATGGATAGAAGAACTTATTTAGGACAACTTAGTAATTTAGATACTCGTTCTAAAAAATGGAATTTTCTCCACTAAGCCTACTAATTTGTAGTGTTAGTTAAAATCACATTAGATTAAAAAAGTATATAAAACAGATAGTTTCTAATACAGATCTGATGACTGAAAAGTAAAAAATTATTGATAGTTCAATTTTTCTGGTCCTACCAGAGAAACTCTCCTAAAAAATTTATATGTTAGAGACCGAAATGAGATTTAGCTATAATTCAAAACTAAAATAGAATTAATCTATGGATCAATATGGTATTAAACAGACTAACCTAATTAAGCACGTGAGCCGGCATCATGTCGGGCTAATGGACAATGACTCGTGAGTTAGCTACACCATACAATATATAAAAGAGAAAATTGTTGAATCTATCTTAGAGTGTCTAGATTTGAATTTTTACCCCTACTATTGGTTAATACTTTTTTTACTAATATAATTATTTGACTAAAAATGATATTAATAAAGAGTACGGGATAAAAACTAAGATCCCTACACTATAAGTGGTATTCGTCTATTTTTTTTCTAGTTTTTTCTATATTAAAATAGCAGACCTTACTAAACACAACACGACAATAAGAATGTGTGTGATATATAAAGCCACGGTCCATTTAACAGCTCTAGAGCCAGGCAAGAGCATTACCGTATTTGGTGTGCTGAATTATCCACGTTATCATTACTCAGCACAGTTTGCTTGGCTCTTTTTTATTTCTTGCAAATTTACTTAGATTTAAAAACTTTTGGATGTCTACATATTTTCACGGCTGGTCATCACTAATTAATCGGTGCTCCTATGCACAAAGATCCCTATCTTTCTAGCATTCTATGAAAATTTACAAAATAGAAAATCTAAAAATTAGTTAATAGATGCATCAAAGGCTGACATAGCCGAGTAGAAAAACCAACACGAACCCTTTCCTTTCGGAAGCAGATGCCGAGATCTTTTGCCCTCCAGCTTTCATCACCATCCTTTATGCCACTACCCTGCCCACGTTAGTCTTAAACAAAGTCAAAAACGCATACTAGTCAAGAGAGAATTGGTCTTTAGAAAGCGACCCATTTGGACATTTTTAACTAGAGCAGCATAAAATAATAACAATAATAATATTATCATACACATGCACGCATATACACATCACCAATCACTCTTACTTTTATGTCAAAATCACCCTTTTTACGTGATGTGCCACTCCAATTTCTAGCTATAGCTAGCCGAAAGGAATCCATTTCGCGCCCTCCGGCAAAGAAGGAAAAAGATGGCAATGTGACCCTACTTACTTACTCATCTCCATCAACACACATATCCAAGCACTCCTTTTCACCAACTTTATATTTCTTGGACCGCATATTCTTATATATAATCATATTATATTTTATTCATCAGAAGTCTTTTCTAATTCGATTCCTCAATCCATGTTATTGCTCCAAAGTTATTTGGTAAGCATATTCATGTCTAATCTTATAGTTATATAAATTTATTTCCTAATGAAACACACACACAGACACATATATATATATATTAGTCGACAAAATCATTCCTTGCAATTCCAGTAATTACTCTTCGTTGTACCCCAGAAAAAAGCAGTTCCCGTTTTCTCGTTATCCATATATCCCCCATGATAGCACTATATATATATATAAGTGATAATGTTCCCTTTTATGATCCTCTAAATTTAGCTCATCATAATTACACGCATCATAAACCCATATCTTGATCTAGATCTATGATCATCACTTTCTTTCACCAATATATTCCCTTGCTTTTCCTACGAACTAATTAATGTCACATTCTTACCGTAGCTGGCTATCATTACCAAGAAAATATAGTAATTAAATACATATATACACGTGTTTTTACCATTTATATATATATATATATATATATATATAGCTTTAGTTTTAACGTGTTCAAAGATATACTTGTTTGCCTTTTTCTCATCAGCTAGAGGTCTATTGACTGAAGCGATCAATCTTTTGGATATTTTTTGGCTTTTGCTGGTACGTTTGCTAGTCTCTTTCTTCCTAGCCTGCATGAAAGTGAAATTGCGCTTTACTTAACTACATGCGAGGGTTACGAATTTGGACCAAGCACAGTTCATTTTTTGGGTAGTACTACATGTATCTTTTTTGGGTCTTTTTTTTTTTCTGATTAATTTCTTAAATTAGTATTTTTAGGAATATACTTGGAATTCCAGTTTTGTGACAAGGAATCTCCTCGTCTAAATCTGCAAATTAAAGAGTAATGTCTTCAGCAAATAATTCTTACTACCTGATATAGCAGACTTTTTTCTGTATATATCAAGGATATATATGCATATATTGGAATCTGACTTTATTTCCTATTCTTTTTAATGTATTTCTAATAATATCACGTCACATTATAATTAAAATGTCATGTTAATTAAAATTTTATATCACATTAAAAAGTGAGGCCATTTAAAATATTTTACTTTTTAATTGATGTGACATGATTTTATCTAGAAGACACAAAAGGGGATCTGTGAACCCATTCTGCATATATGCTTGAAGCAGAGCATGAAATTTTTTTTGTTATTGAACTGTTGTGCGTGCGTGTGTGTATATATATAAACTTATATATAAAGGTTTTTCTACTGTCTCTCCAGTGGGAGTGGAAAATATAACATATATAATTGAACGTAACATTAATGTTAGAGATGTGTAAAACGATTTTTGGGTGATTAAGGGGCCGTTTTTTTATCCTTTTTGAGTTAGGTGATTTTAGTGTAAATTTGAGTTGAGTTTGAGTTATAACTTGAGTTGAAGTTGTAACTTGAGTTTGTGTTTGGTTGTATACATTTGAGTTATGGTTTGAAATAAGAATCTTTTTGAGTTTGTGTTTAAGTGAGTCAAAATTTGAATTTGTATTTAGATAATATTTTAATAAAACATCAATGCTGATGGAAAATTTTAATAGGGTATATGGGTGAAGTTTTATTTGTCTTTTTGTTGTGACCGCGTAGAAAAAAAAATCATCTTAATCAGAATTAAAACGAAAAAGTTATAGCATTTTTAAGAATAGAAAAAATATTTATTAATTTGAGTTTGAGTTTTGAACTCGAGTTGAAGAGAAAACTTGAACTCGAGTTTTAATCCCAAACTCAAGTTTAAACTAGAGTTCAAACTCGAGTTTAAACTTAAAAAAATATGA